GTCGCAACTTTGTGTTTGTTATTGTCACCATGTTGATGAGCCTCCATTAAGATCTTATTTTAAACCTGAAACAAATTGTTTTTTCCTTTAAATCAAGCTGAGTTGTATATGGGCCCTAAACCTAACCAACCCTTAACCATTGCCGTGCCATATCAATAAACCGATTTGTTTTTCAGTTTTTGATGGAACATACACATTACTAATATAGTTAATTATAGCCTTTTTTTCTAAAACATGGTCTGCTCATTCGCACAGCAAAAAATGCAGATTGTTTGATAATTTATTGCAGTGTCATCACTGTTTTCGGCATTCCGATACTGTACCTGCACAGATACATGCACAGTAGGATTCATTTTACTGCAAAAAGCTAGCAAAACCTTATACTGTTAAAGGATAACAAATCACACTTTTCTTCACACAAAAATAAGACGCTCTTTTTGTGGATTTCAATCGGACCATCCAGGCTCATGACCCTGCTGGGGTCAAACCGAAAAAGCTTTACAGGAAGCACTGTCACTGTGCTCTCAGAGCAGCTTTTAAGATTTACTTCCCTGCTGTCTATAAAGAACATTCAGGTTTTAACAATCTAAATTGAAAACTGCTGGAGGGGAAAATAATAGTGTGTTGGAGGCAGGGAGGCTCCAGCGATGGAGGGGACTGTAAAGAGGCAGCGACAAGCCGATGTGTTGGCAGAAACGATTAACTTGGTTTGGAGAAAAATAGAGGGGAGAAGAGATTAACACAGTTTAGAAATTGGTTATTCATGCTGAACCACTTTTTGAGATAAAGTAGGCATGGTTTCTCAAATACATTCCAGAAACTTTTCTGCAAATATTCTTGGGATACAAAGCAATGAATGTATAACAATTTTATGAAGCACTTTGAATAACGCATCACAAATGTGTGATTATGATAATAACCACATTTATTTCAACACAAAATCCGTTGACCCCTTTAATGCCGACAACCAAGCTTGGACCACACCCATCTATGAAATCGACCTTTATTGAAATCTGAACTACTACTACTTGTAAAGTTCTGTCTGGAAAATGCTTCCCTAGTGAGAAACACACCAAGACTTACAAGCTGAAAACAATACCAGCAACTAGCAGCTGGTAAAAAGCAGCAGCTCTTGCTGAGGATCATAAGGACACTCAGGTGATCTACACACCCATGAACACCACAGAGGACACTTAGTGGACAGGTGAGGTAAAACTATACCTAGAAAATAATGTCCAATCTACTATAAAACTAGTATATACATAATATACTATGTGTTATTATTTTTTATAAAACCACTACAAATTCAATAATAGCAAAATAGCTAAAACAACATTGAGTACATTTCTTTTTTATGGGTTGGAGCTGCTTTACCAGAGTTCCTCTTTTCCAGAGGTGGGAAGTAATTAAGTACATTTACTCAAGTAATTTACTTAAGTACTATTTCGAGATACTTGTACTTTTCATTTTATGTTACGTTGTACTACATTTATTTAATACCTGTAGTTACTTTGCATATTTTGATTAATGATGTGAAATATAATCAAGGTTCAAGGTTCTTTATTTGTCATACGAACATATAAAGTGTAGTTATGTCGATGAAAATCTTAGGTCACAGGCTTCTCCAAGAGTGAAAGTGAAAAATATAGTGCAAGTAAATATTAAAAAGTAAATACAAAAAGAAAAATAGTTTAAAAAAAGTGAAATTGTGAAATAGAGTCTATATGTAAGCTATTGGAATGATATATTAGATAAATAGATACATTCATAGTAAATGTACAATCTACTCTGCATTATATAAAGTCATTAAAACTAGCTGCACCTTTACCAGCTTTGATAACACGTTAATGCATCAATAATTACAATCAAAACATATAATATATTATTCTGAAATGGACCAATCTGCATAAGGAGTACTTTAAATATATATTGATGCTAGTAACTTTTGTACTTTTACTTGAGTAACATTTGGCTGTGAGTAAATGCTCTCTAGGAACAGATAATGTGGTGTTGTCAAGATTGGGGAAAAATAGGACCCAAATGCAGAATGAGGAGGGAAGCAGGTTTCAAAATGGAACAAAAGGTGAGCTTTATTCATAAAAGCTGAAAAAAGGCACGAGGTAGCATCCAAACAAAAAGGGACTGTGACCAACATGAAGGGAGACATGAACAACAAATAATGAACCAACACTGAACACAGGAAGAGACAAGACTAAATACAGGGCGGGGTAATCACGAGACGAGAAACACAAGGGCAACAGGTGAACACAATCAGACAATTAGACACACCAGGGAAACTAACGACAGGGAGGACAGAACAGCAAAATAACCCCAAAACTAGACACACAAAAACTCAAACCCTGACAGGTGTAATGTCAAAGAAATACGACCACACTGTTATGATTTAATCTAATTCAAGCTGGAATTGACCCTTTCTCTGTAACAAGCCCATAGCGTATACAGTTAAAAGCTCATTGCTAGCTTCTCATCCTTTAACAAGCATATGCTCTAAAAGGAAACATGATTGATTTAAAGGTCATTTTGATGTACGGCCTTGCTGTCAACACAATGCCTTTGTACAAAATCTGCTCAGATCCACCAAGCTGCAGGGAACTGCTGTGTCTAAGGGGACTGAATGCTGCTTTATGATCAGCTACAGACATAGAAAATAATTTGTTCTCTCACAACCACAGAACATCAGTCATACAGACAGTCCCAGTCCACCAGGAGTTCACCAGCCTCTGGCCATCTTTCGTGGAGGTCTCTCACTCCACGGAAAGTGTAGAAGTAATTGTACTTTCTCCCCATTTGTTGTGTGTGTGTGTGTGTGTGTGTGTGTGTGTGTGTGTGTGTGTGTGTGTGTGTGTGTGTGTGTGTGTGTGTGTGTGTGTGTGTGTGTGTGTGTGTGTACCAGTTGTGTTAGAAAATCGAAACCAGAAATTGATGTGCAGCAACAAAATTAACCTCAGCTGAGAGGTAGTAGCTGGATGTACCGTAACCGACACAATGTCTGGCTGGGAGAAAGGCACCTCAGAGCTGTTCTCCATCTTCCTATGCACTCTGATGGTATAGGATATTCCAGTCAGTAGTAGTCCACAACATGCTGAGATGTATTGACAAATTAAATATTTGATTGCCAGTTAACATTGTCAATAGATCAATCCTTTTATGTCTTCCTTGCTGCAGACTGATGAAGGACGTGTCTATTGCATGAGTCAATTCATTTTAATGAGCTCTCATGCCGATCTAACAGGCAGGAGAGGTTTTAGGAATCATTATTTAACTATAGCTCACATCCTCTCAAGCAAACTTGAAGTCAAGTCTGTGAAGAAAAAAGGCTAAGATCAGGTTTTGGCTCGCTCAATATTAAAAGTTGGGTGATATAATATTACTTTTTGAGTAGATGTCTATCAAAAGTATTGTTTGACCTTTATGATGGATCCAACAGTTGGCAAACTTGTTTTGTTCCAAATCACTGTTCCCGGTCTGACCTCATTATCCCAGCAAGCCAGTGTAAAGGTAATTTGTCCCTGCCTGATTTAGATTAACGCTGCGCTCTGTGCACAACAGCTGCACACAGCAGACCATCGCTTTCCTGATTTCACTTCCAGCCACTTTGCATCTCAATAACAGCCGGAGAGCTCACTCAATATTAAACGATTGTTAAAGCTCCTAGGGACTCACCTCAGTGGCTTATTAGCAGGCGAAACACAGAGCGCCTAAAGCATACAGTATGTCTTATAAATAACCTTTAACTGGAAGAGACAACATTTTAATTGCTGGAGGATGGTCAGGTCTGTTCTTGAATTAATATGTAATGTGTGCAGTCATTAGCGTACTGCTGTGCATTGGTTGAAGCTTTTCTGGTGAATACTATATTGTATCACAATAAACATTTACTAGATTTATTGTTTTCTGCATCTTGTTGGTATCAATCTTAAAATGGTGTTTCTCTTGAAAACAGGCATAGCTATTGTTTATTTTCCTTATCTTCATTGCGGGCCACATTAGCATTATGGTTGCACTCAAAGGGCCGGTTGTCACTTTAAGAATATATAGATCTACATATATAAATATATAATATATATTAAATAATGTATTATATTACATTATTGGCTCCGCATTGGATTATTATTAGTTATGGTTATAACCTCATAAATAATTACGTCTGAAAGCAGAAGTAGGGCAAATAATTAGAAGCAAATATTCAACAGTTATACCAATTGTTTTGTATACTAGATTGTTTGCAAGCTCTTGTGGGCCACATAAAATGAGGTCACGGGCCGGATTTGGCCCGCGGACCTTGAGTTTGACACCCCTGATTTACATTATACTTTTTTTATACTTCCACCCTAGATTTGTTTAATAGCTATTTTTAGTATTATTTTGGACATTTATAATATTAAAAAGTAAATCAAATCATAAACCCATTATTTAGTATTATATAGCATTGAGTATTTAGCCCTAACTTTGCAGCTGCAACATTAAAGAGATGAACCATTAATGCATGAATGATTGTTATTATTATTATTATTATTATTATTATACAGTCATTCAATATATGTAAAGTTCTGAAACTTGTGTATTACGTTTGTGAGATTTGAATGCCATACCACTGAGCTACAGATGACTTGCGTGTTTGTCAGACATTCACCAGTTAAAGAAAATAAACCAAAAAACGTTCATTTATAGCTAAGGGTTTACATTTGTGAAAAATGACTAAACTACAATGTAACGATTTGGGGTTTGAATTGAGTCATTATCACATCATCCTTTCTTTAAATACACCATGTATAAAGTTGGGGAATTATATATCAAATCAATTTTAAATCAACACAAGCTAAATGTGTCTCATCGTCTGAAAGTTGGTCGATGTAAAACCTTTGTCCTTGTGTTGCCACTTCCTTGGAGCATGAAGGATACCTTTTAAATTCCTCCTGACTGTACAATCCCATGATCCCTGTGATCCCTTCTTCCAGTGGTAATGGCCCTGTCTCCAGGCAGCCCAGCATCCATTAGTGACACTGATTAACCCCGGGGTGTCTGGCTGTTCTCCGCCTGATGGGGCCGGACAGGCGATGGTTTGAGAACAGTGCTTGTTGAGGAGAGAGGCAGCCTGAGTGGACTTGTTGAAATGTATGAGTTGTATCACATCTCATTGAGGCTACTTATTTGCTGATTGAAACAGAGATGTACCAGAATGCAGCTGAATGAGATTTAGTATTGGATTTTCACAGAGAAGTTGACCGGCCTGCCAATTAGGTGTAATTTGAATGATGCAACTTGAATCGTTCCCTTTTCAGATGAAAACAGATCATCTGAAAGATGAGAGTCCTTGTGATATCTAGTTGATATTACTTCAACAAAATTGCTTCTTTAATTAACAACTGTATCAATCTTGATCATATCTGACTGCAATCAAAAGATTGGGGCTTACATTTTTCTCTAGCTCGTTAAGAATACATCAAACGATACACAGAGTGTAGAGCAATGCTAAGGCGGATACGCTCACATTCAATGCTAATATGCCGTTTTAATGTTGTTTACCACCTTAGTTTGGCATGTTTGTATGTTAAATAACACTAAAGGCAAAGTACTTTGAGGTGATGGAAAAGTGAAATTTAACTTTTAAGCTGATGAATGCATAATTAATGATAGATTAACATTTTCAGATCCTTCTAACTAGTTCATGCTAGCTTCAAATTGCATCGCAATCCATACAACAGTTGTGAAAGCAGTTCAGTACCTCACAGTGGCGCCTAAATTCAGGTAATCCGCCATGTCTTTACGTTTCCTTTCCATGCTTTATGATAATCCATCCAATAGTTGGTGAAATATTTCAGAGTGGATTAAAGTGAGGTTTTGAAAGACTGACAGGCATGCTACTTTCGAAAAAGTAATTACACTGAAAACATCATCTTTTAAACACTTTCCTTGCACAAAAGGTAAAGAGATGAGAAGAGTATTTAAGTTGTTGTCCCATATCCCCGACCCAACACTGCATAAATAAAAGCAGCCACTTTACCAGCAAAGGCATGCAGAGGAGCCGTAAATAGACAGAAAAAAACCACAGATGTGTAGTACTCTGTAGAGTGATGTAAGGAAAACAAACCACGGAAGAAATACCGTTACCATGTAACTTAAAGAGCATTCGAAAGGTAATTTCGCGAAAAAGTCTCAAATAATGAGACCATGCAAAGAATGAGTGGTTTATTTGGATTGGAAATAAAACGGAAAGGAGAGCAGCATAAAGGAAATACGTTTCCCTTTATTTGACAGTTATACCTACAAGACATGTTTTTTTTGTTAAAGGATGACGCTTGCCTCTTGTTAAATATATTTATGACATTTTTTTTTCTTTTAAACAATATGCAATCATTTTGTTTCTTTAAAGAAATGTTGTATAATGGTTTCTCTCCAGTTTCGTTTTCGTAAGATGTGCTTATAAGGTTTGCATTATTCAAAAAGGGTCACAGATGTTATGTTCATCTAGGTTTGCTGTAATGCATTTGGTCCTTTGCTGCAGTATTTTCTGAGACGCACTAACAGAAATTACATGGTGGGGAATTGAGAGGTGGAAGGTGCTAGCGCTCCTTAATGCCCCGGAGAGCTGGCCTGACTTCTTTTATCTTAAATAAGCAGATCAGAGAACTGCTGGTGGTGGATTGCTGACTATGTGTTAGAGATTTTCAGCTCTGCTGGGTGTTCGCCCATGTTGGGGATTTGCACTTGCATACAAATAGGCCTGGATTTTTTTATACCAAGTTGTGAGCTTGAAAGTGTCAGAACTGAGCCTTTCAGATACACCGAGGGAATACTTTAAGAGCATTAAGTAGACTAACATATTTTAATGTTGAATTCAGAATTCAATTTCTGTGTCTATCCACATTTCTCTTTTGTCAGCAACCTTGAAGTGTCTGCTTTGCCACAAAAAAAACACTGCAGCAGAAAACCTCCGAGGGGGATGAATAATTGAATACCAAGACAAAAGAACAACAAATATCTAGTTGGCAGAAGCTGATTACAACTCAGATAACAGCTCCAGATAATTAGAAGTTGGAAAAAGTGACAATATTTTCAAATGAGAATTATTAACTCATAGTATTTCTTTTGAAAATATATTTTTGATTAAAGTTACTACAGACAGCATTTCACCTTCTCCGCCTCAAGCGTTTCCAAGTGGTATATTAGTTGATGCTGCTCTCTTTTACTGTGAATGGAAAATATGACATATAGATAGAATGACACAAAGTCAAATTGAGGCTAATAGGACACAGATGGTTGCGGAACATTCAACAGACATTATATGGTGCAATAAACATTTACTACATAATGATAAGTTGAAGCAAATTTTATCGTGGTAATAAAATCCGGTATTACTCACATTTCAATCCTTGAATGGCATCATCCCTTCCTGTTGGCAGCTCTTGTTAACACACACACTCTGATAACAACAGCTGCCACAACGACTAAAGGTCAACCTGTGATTGAAGTCTTTATGTGAAAGAAATCATCGGAGCCCGGGACGCAGTGTTATCTGTTTGGTATGCAGACAGTCACACTGTATTCCAATTGAGGCATCACACTGTGATCCTGAGCCACTAATCCGTGTTGTTTATGGTCACAACTGTGCAGGAATGTGCTCCTAAAAGCAAGCAAGTGATTCGTTTTTTCTTTAAACGTCTCAGAATTGTATTCTGTGTCACGGACAGACAAACTCTCCATTATAATTACATTCTGACTCATTCCTTTTCTCCCACTTCAAGAATTATTGGTATGCTATCGCTATGTTGAGACAGCCACTATTGTAGTGACCATGTCTCCATTTCATTTACTGCTCATCTATCCATGTATTTCCTGCTAAATTGCTTTTCAGGTTTTTTTTCTCTGATGGCAGAAAAGCAAAATTGTGCAAATCCATTTTGTAAAGGGATCACAGACAGATGCTCTGTGTCCCCACAGGAGACTGTGTGTATCCTCCATACACCTTGTGTCTATTGTCTGGATACAGAGGAAAATAAACTGTTTACAACGAGACACAGTAAGTAAGCCATATTTTAGCCTTGGGATTGTCAAATGTCAGCAATTCAACAACAATAAATTATATATAACATTGCAAATGAGATATTGTCATTTAGAGGAATTAACTAAATGATTAAGATACACTAAGGATGTGTTTAAATTACGAAGCACTGTGGAAGACAAATACAGTCTTAAGGTCAGTCATATCTTAAAAGTGCTCGGATACAAGCGGCCGAGATGGGTTTTCTCCGCAGGGTGGCTGGCGTCTCCCTGAGGGATAAGGTGAGAAGTCCGGTCATCCGGGAGGGACTCGGAGTTGAACCGCTCCTCCTTCGCGTCGAAAGGAGCCAGTTGAGGTGGTTCGGGCACCTAGTTAGGATGCCACCTGGGCGCCGTGTGTGTGTGTGTGTGTGTGTGTGNTTTAAAGTAACCCTCCCACCCCCTCACTCTGTGATTCTCCCTCAGCGTTCTGTAAAGTGGGCGTGGGGATCTGCTACGATATCCGCTTTGCAGAGCTGGCTCAGCTGTACAGCAGACAAGGTGAGAGGTGGATATTTAACTGAAATCTGGGCTGATTTTACAGATGATTTTAAGGTCACCTATTGTGCAAAATCCACTTGTTCATGTCTTTTCTACATCAACATGTGTCCCCTCTGTGTAAAGAGACTCTGAAAGTTTCAGGAACAAAGATTCTCTCTTTTTGTCCTGATACATTTCTATAAAAACCTGTCTAAAAATGAGCTGATCAGATTTTGGCCACTTTATGATGTCATAGCGATTTTTTGGCTTGTGTAACCATTAGCCAATCAGCAACCAAGGTAATCTGAAGCCTTCTGAGTAAATCGCCAGAACGCCGACACCTCCTCATCACTCCACCGCTCCCATGTTTCTTTTTGTGTTGCCATAAGTTATTCTCTCTCCGTTGGTGCACGGGGCTAATGCTAATGCTAATAATGCTAATGTCACAAATACAATGGCGGCTTCACAAAACTTTTCAGAGTTTTACGGGGCGTGGTTTGCAATTCGCCCAGCCAATAGAAATTGGTACTTTTTTGGTACCACGTCTCAGCAGGCACTAAAAATGGTGGTAAAAGTTCCCGGGACTAAGTACTCTTTTTCGTGTGAACGCAACATAAGGGGTACTAACGGAACTAAGCGGGAAAAGTACGGGGAAAAGTACTCCGGTGTGAACGCGCCTATTGTGTTCTTTTTAACCAAATCTCTCTCAGAGGGGCGTGGGGAGTGGCTCCTTATTTTCATCTAAAGTAACAGACAGAGAATCAGCACTTTTGAAACAGGGCTGAAACAGAGGGGATTATGGGTAATGCTGCAATGATCTGTTTGGTATTTGGAGCCAAAAACTTCAGAGACATGTTTTGTATATATCTGAGACCTATAATATATTGATGAAAAACAGTATACTAGGGGAACATTAATGTTAATATGGGTTGTTTTTGTGTCCTCAGGCTGCCAGCTGCTGGTGTATCCCGGAGCTTTCAACATGACCACGGGTCCGGCTCACTGGGAGCTGCTGCAGAGAGCCAGGTTAATATTCATCGGAGGGGATTATGAGACTGTAAAGACTCCAAACTTCAGACATGGCTACATAACATTTGATAGAGAGTGAGATTAGGAAGAGAACCAGAAAAAAGGAAACTCTCCAATAGTTGTTTCCTATAAGTCTGAGCCCTGGTTCGGTCCTTTCTCAGAGTCATAATTAATAAGTGCAATGTGTCCTGCATTAGAAGCGTCACCAGAGACCGTGATTGCATGTCAATGATGTGATGATAATGAACTTTTATACTATTTGAATGGAGCTTTTAGTTTAGAGCCTCATGATCTAAGAGTTCTCTTTGTTTCCCCTGCAGGGCGGTGGATAACCAGCTGTACGTGGCCACAGCGTCTCCTGCTCGAGACGAATCCTCTTCATACGTGGCCTGGGGACACAGCACTGTCGTTAACCCATGGTGCAGAAACAGACACATGTTATCCTCTGAACAGCTAAGGGCTGCAGAATATTTTAAAAGAAAAGTGGTGGATTAGAAATATGAAACAGTATATTATTATAAAACTACTCGTACGCTTTTGTTTTGCTTTTTGTGATTCATTTTTGCAGACTTGTGATTGTTATAATTTGTCTTTTCAGGGGAGAAGTGATCTCAAAGGCTGGAACAGAGGAGGAAGTCATTTATGCCGACATCGGTGAGTGGAAGATCAAGAGATGCATGATATTTGAAAATAATTGGTCTTAGCCATAGCAGACAATTGACATGCACTAAAACCCCAAAAAGCAGAATAGAGCCTCTTTAATTCAGGGCAGTTGTATTGGATTGCATTAGATCGCCCAGGTGTTTTTTTTTAAATTCGTTATAAGTTATCCTGATTCTATCTTTTTCCTTCTTTTTTTTACACTTCTGCTTTTATTGAGTTTTCACAACAATAATAACAGAACAACAAAACATAATACACACATATCAGTTGTAAAATAAAGCACAATAAATACTAGTTGTCTGAAGACCTTCAATATTCACACATACGCCGTACAGGATTGAATTAGTCATTCACTTACTCATTGGTGTCAACCATGTAAATATTCCACTTTTCCCATTTCCTATTGAATGCATTCTCTTGGATTCTCAACTTTTCCATGACAAACATATCTTGAACAATTTCCAGCCACTGCTCCTGAGTCGGAGCGTTCACATTAAGCCAATTTCTAGCTTTCTAACTCGCTGCAAGTAAAATAAAATATAGATCGCCTCCCATCACAACATCCTTAATGTTCCAGAGATACATCACCGGGCAGGCATTTGGGATTCCATAACCCATAATAGTTTTGACAACTGCATTAACCTTCTCCCAATGTGACCTTATCTTTGCACAGTTCCAGAAAATGTGTGAGTGTCAGCCTCCATGTTCCCACACAACCTCCAACACTGTTGCTGTACACCAAGTTGCCTGCTCTTTATTTTGGGTGTTATGAAAAAGCGAGTCACTGATTCTATCTTCTGATCTCAGACCTGCAGTATTTAGCCGACGTCAGGCAGCAGATCCCGATCACGGCTCAGCGTCGAAACGACCTCTACTCAGTGACCTCTGTGCAGCGAGGAAACAGCTGATCGCAGAGACGGAGACACAAACTCTGCTGCAAATCTAACGTCTCACTGTTGAACTAGAGATGCAGATCAAAGAGAGGAGCTCTGTTCTTAAGATGTGATTATTCAGTGTGATGGCTGGGGCTGAAATTAGTTCAAATAACAAACATTTGGATAGTTTTTGTAAGCAGAATATTGTAAAAGTGAACATTTTCATTTTATAGATTTTTTAATGTGACAATCTGCAACGTTTCATTCATTTCATTTCATTGTAAATCAATAAGTTTTGTCCCTTTTTTTCCAGAAGAAACTATGTATTGATTGCCACACTAGATATTTCAAATGTAAAAAGAAAATATACTCACACTGTCAAATAAATCTAAAAAACAAAAAGTTGTATTGTCCTTTTATTTTATTCTCACACACACAAGACTGCATAAAATCAAGACATTAAAAAAGGGAGAAAAAAATATAAAAAGTTAAGAAAAACATACATTCTTTTGTCAAATACAAAAAGACAAAAAAGACAACCAAAAACATGTAAAAATGTACCAGAAAAAACAACAACGAGCTCGTAAAAAAAAGATACGAATAAATGGAACCTCTTAATAAAGCTTGTAACAGACAGTGTTTTCTAATAAAGAATATTTTTATACCTTAATTAAAAAAAGAAGCTTCCAGATGTATTAACATTGAAAAGGTGCACCAGGGTAACAACAAATACATATTTACGCATCAGTGCCGTCAGTGAACGGCTCCTTAAACCTCGCTCTCCTTTTTCATCGGCTCCTTCTCCTCCTCCATCTCCTCCTCTTTGTCCGGACTTCTTCTTTTATATCCTGACAAAAAACACATTAAAACCAATAAATACACACATCCCTGCAGAGATATCATATCTTCATATTTAAAATGTCTGACTGAAGTAGCGATCACCGTTTAGATTTGTATTTTTGAAACGTAGATGTTTGAGGTATAGCAGAAATATTTCTCATTATTTCATTTACCTGACAAATTGAAATGTTACGAATAAAAAGTTGAGGTTCAGGTTATTTATTTGTACCCGTAGGTAGATTTTGTTTGCAGAGAAAAAGACAAGGGATCCATCCTGACACTAAGAACAAACAAACAACACACACATCTCTAATAAAAGGACTAGTAAAAAGTACAAGTATACCCTGCTCAACCAAATCTCAAAATATTTCTAAAACATTTTAATAAGGAAAACACTTGAACAAACATGGACATTCAAAATTCATTATTAAATAAATAAATAAAAATAGGCATCTGTAAGCACTCCTATGATGTGTTAAAACTGTTTGTATACCGCTTCGTTCTACTCTTTGGGACAATAACCTCCGGCCCGAAGGAAAAAGCCTGAATTCCAACTATTTTGATAATTGATCAAAAAAAACTTTTTTTCCAGCAAGAAATTCTTTAAGTACTTTTTCCAGCCTTGTAAATGTGAAGATTGAGCGTCGCGGAAATAAATAACAAATAAATCCGCCTTGTGAGCGCAGGCCTCAAAATAGCATTTATTAACTATTTTATATGATTCTTGACATTTACATCCAATTTTTCTGTCTTTTTCATAAACTTTGAAAACATTTCACATAATATTTGTTGTGCTTTTATCAGAAAAAATGACTTGAACTTTTACAGATTTTTAAAGGTGCTTCACTGAGTTTACTTTTCAAAAATTATCTTCTGATAGTCGAATAATATTTAAATAAAAATGTTCCTGCAGAGCTGTCTTTCAATGCCGTCTTTAGCCTCTCAAATATGGAGATTTGGTGAAGTGAAATACTTTCATACACAAATAAAAAGTCTGCCTTGCATAAATTCACTTTTCACTTACATTCTGGACATTTATCAAATATTTTTCTGACATTTTATTCACCCTTTGAGGGCATTTCACTTTAATTTATTTATGTTTACCACACACACTTTGAGATCTGACCAAAAGGGAATATATTTTAATCCTGTCTGAGAAAAAGTCAGAATTCTGAATTCTGACTTTTCTGAAACAGGTTTGACATTTATGAAAACAAATATTTTGAAAATCAATTAGTGTTTGAATGAATTTTTCTTGCATTTATCTATCTATCCATCCATCTATCCATCTATCCATCTATCTATCTATCCGAGAAACTGAGATTTTCCATATGTGATCAGTGAAAGCAGCAGAAACAAGTCTACCTCTGGACTGCAGCTTCTGGAAGTCGTGCTTCTTCCTCTTGTGGACGCGGTCCAGGTGGATCTGGTAGGCGACCCCTGTCAGCACCAACAACCCGACCACCACACACAGCGCCGTGCTGAAGATCCACATCGACTCCGAGGCCCGGCTGTGCACTGTGCTGCGATTCACCGAGTCTGAAAACACACAGAGAGGGCAAAAGTACACACATCCTTTACTCAAGTAGAAGTACAGATACTCGTGTTTAAAAATACTCTGGTAAAAGTAGAAGTACTGACTAAACTTCTTTACTCAAGTAAAAGTAAAGAAGTATGGCTTGGAAATGTACTTAAAGGTGGGGTAGGTAATTCACTTCAGAAACACTTTTTGTTATATTCCATGGAATGCTCTTAACATCCCGATAGCAATGAATATATGAAATGCTTGAAACAATAAATACATACAAAAATGTCTGTGGAAGCCGTGGCGCTGTAAAAAGCACGACAAATTATTTTAGCCGGCTAAAATAACTGGATGGCCTACCTGCCTGTCAGCCTTCCATCTCGTGCACAAACTTATCTCGTGCCCTCATTGGAATCTAGATTTATTTTCTCTCTCCATTCATTCTAGTGAGCCTGAATGGTAATCTGTGACGTTTCGCTCTCTCAAAATTTGTGCCATTTTGCCTGCAGGCCAATGAGCAGCTCTTATAGGAAAGAACAAGACCCCGCCTCCCACGCTGTATCCAGTTCTTATTATACATCCATGGTTCTTCTGCTCTGACAGCTAGGCATGATGGGTAATTTGTGATGTTTCGCTCTCTCAAAAGTTGGGCCATTTTGTCCTCATGCGCCAATGATCTCATTGGAAAGAACGAGGCCCAGCCTCCTGTATCCAGTTCTTATTATACACTGATTATACATCAATGGAAGGAAGGGGCAGATTTTTTTCGGCTGCGTACTTTCAAATTCTAGCGCACTCGAGCTGGTTTCTCCATTCTTACCTACCCTACCTTTAAAGGGGACCTATCATGCAAAATGCACTTTTGTACGTCTTTTATACATGAATGTGTCCCCGGTGTGTCAGGGAACTCACCAATTGTCAGAAAACACAACCCTCTCTCTTTTCCTCCATACCCAAATCTTTAAAAACAGGGCTGCAACGGAGCTGATGCAGACTGATCTAGATTTGAATTATTTTCTACGTCACAGAAGTGGTGCTCCGCCTATATGGCCAACTCTCCACCTATCAGGGGAATGTGGGGTTGGGCCACGGCCTAGGTACAAAGCTGGCCCAGGCTTTTTGAGCGGTGAGCAAGTGAACCTTCATCCGCCTCTCCACCCACAAATGTGCTCTCTATGATTTGTTCTGGCCTCCTCCCTTCCCTCTCCCATACTTATTTCGTCTCGCGCTCTATCTACGAGAGAACGACGAGACCCTCCCTCTTTTTCTCTGGTGTCGCGCTATGTATGTGGGCTCCTCCCCCGCTTGCTATCAATTCGTGTATTCCTTTCCTTCTCTGACGGACGCAGAGAGCTTTAGAATGATGAGGCGTTCTGACACTCACCGTCTGCCTCTCGTCACTCTTGAATGTCTCCTCTCGTGCATCTATTACAGAGAGAGAGTTCGCAGAGGTCGCCAANAGAGGTTGCGTGGCATGGTAACAGCATGGTAACATGACGCTCGTGCCTCGCCCCCCTCCTTTGCAGGGGGCGTGGTCAGCTGCAGCTCATAAGCCACAGAATCAGCCCTTGCAAAAACAGGGCTGGAATACAGCAAATAGAGTGAATTGAGGCATGGCTAAAATGCATGATCTGTTTAGTATTTTCAAACTAAAACTTCACAGACATGTTTTATATAGGTATGGCCCAACAATATATTATTCAAATATAGCATGATAGGTCCACTTTAAGTAAAAAGTACCCATAACTAACAGCTGTTTTAAAGAGTACCTGACCTCCCTTTATATTAATAGAACAATAATGTCATTGTTAGCTAATGAATGTTTCCATGCTGAACAACGGCAACATGACAACGTTTTCATTGGTCCCTCTTCTTTAGAGAAGACCAGGAAATGATGGATACACGGATCGTATTCAAATCAATAGGCACGCAATGACTCTAAATAATAATGATCACGCCACCAAACACACATTCAAACTAAAGGAACCAGCCTGTTTGGAAAATGAGAGAAGTAGACAGTACAGGTATTTGTGTTCAACATGTAAGAAGTCAAAGTAAAAGGTCGTCAGAAAAATAAGTAGTGGAGTAAAGTACTGATACCACAAAAATGTACTTAAGTACAGTAACAAAGTATTTGTACTCTACTTCCCACCAATTTTGAAAACACACAGAAAACAGAAACACCTTAACATGTGGTCACTAAACCAGAATTCATTCATTTGTCCCGTAACTGGGAAATGTACGTTATAACTACAGCAGATAGAGCCGATACAGGAAAGAGACTTACATATTAAAACATCTAAAAGTAAGCACACCTTATTAATAATAAAAACACAATAAGTCAAAGAAATAACAGGTAAGTACACCATGGTGTTCAGGAGGTTAGTTGTCCCAAAGTGTAGAACCAAGCAGTATAAAAACATCTTAATTCTGGCAGCTATCGAATAAGTGGTAGCAGTGTCACACAGACGCGTATTTATTTATTAACTTTGAATGCCAATGTTTGTACTATTGTTTTTTAAATGTGTTTAGATGTGACACCTGAGCAGTGTGTACTTTTATTAGAGATGTGTCTGTTGTTTTTAGAATGTGTGTCAGGATGGATCCCTTGTCTTTTGATTTGCAAACTAAATCCTACGGGTACAAATAAATAACCTGAACCTGAATTCTTCTTGCTTAAGAAACGTTTACTGGTGCCCCAAGGGCAGTTTTAGTTTGATTTTCTGTAATTACAAGAGGCTGTGAATGACAAAAATCTGGTCATTTACAAGATGTTTGGGCCTCAACATCTGATATTAGAACCATTAATTGCTTGCTTGTACTCTAACTTAGTTTCTGAATGACTTTCTGCCGTTAAAGTCCACTCACAGGAGCTGGAGGAGAGGGTCTCGTTGAGTTTGGGGTTCTCCACGATGCATGTGACGCCAAGGTCTTTGGAGAGGCTGACGGTGAGGCGGCTGCTGATGTTGAACAGCTGGGTGTCGGGGAGGGGGGTAGTGATGGTGGTCACGGCGCCCGGGGGGGGGTACTCCTTGTT